TTCATGCGGGGGTTGGCGCTCTCTATGTCTGAGGAGGCAAGGAGTAGTCTTCTGCCGATGGTTGAGGAACTTTCGGACTGTGTCCTTGGCTGATCTTCTTACCGCAGTTCCTTTTAGTCTGCGCAGACACACAAATTTGGACGCACTTGCAGTGCTGTCAGGCGACTTGTGGTTTCAGGCGTGCCCAATGAGTTTGCCCGCTGGGCCATTTCTAACAAACCCTGAGACTGAACCTCCTCGACTGCCAGGCAAAACCAGCTTGAGTTCCTAATAGGTCCACTTGAAAAAGTGGCTTAGCCCTGCATAAGGGCACTTGTTTGGAGAGCTCAGGACTGTGCGAGTCTAACGTGTCACTGCGCGTGCGTTCAAGGACGTGCGCATGCGCGTGGACACGCACGCGTACCTGGCGCCGAAGATCATTAACTAAAAAGTACGCAGTGCCGCAGCACTTGCGCGGGCAGCCACCCGCTATCATAATTTTTCATAATTTGAACTGGACCTTGATGGGCCATCAGAGTTTATCATAATTTTTGATGATGGACTAGGCCCAGCCATGATAATTTATTATAATTTTGATTTGGCCCTTGCTGGGCCAGCCCAGACCTATCATAGTTCATCATAATTTCGATCCAGACCCTGATGGACCAGGTTCTTAGCCATCATAGTTCATCATCATTTTGACCCGAGAGGCCCCCAACCATCATGATTTATCTTTGGCCCTTGCTGGGCCAGCCCAGATTTTGATCCGGACCCAAATGGACCAGTGGGGGCCGTGATAAGTTATCATAGTTTTGATTTGGCCCTTGCTGCGCCAGCCCAGGCCTATCATAGTTTATCATAGCCTTGATCCGGACACTGATGGACCAGGCCAATTTTGATGGGCGTATCATAAGCCTTGATTGGGCCCCTGGTTTTTGATTTTGCCCTGCGGACAGGTACTTCATAAAACAGATTTTGGTAAATTGCGATGGCTCACCAGGCTGGGTAGGCTGGCAGGCCAGACTGCGACGGGCGGCGTGCAGCTGTGCCGGACCAGGCGGGCAGGTGCGGGGGGGGGGGGGAATTCTTGGCAATGTGGCGGCGAGTATGAAGCGTTTCAGCCGCTGATCAATTACGTGGTCTACTACCACTTCACACCAGGCACTGACAATGCGCTGGGACTTTGAGGCGCTTCAGACGCAGCGCGAGCGACAAGCCTGATGAGAGCAGCGAGAGCCAGATCCAGCGGAGAGCAGCTCACTGACTGAGCAAGAGAAATGCGATTGGGGTCAAAGTTTCAACCCTGCTGACAGCTTTTACTTGTGCTAACAGCCGTGGTGAGTGCATGGCCTAGAGACTGGGACCGGGGTCCTTGCTTGGGAGTCCTTTCGCGATGTCCATCAACCGTGCGGAATGTCAGATTCCTCTTGCGAAGCGAACCTATGCTAAGAACCTCCCAGCTAGAGGCCAGACTGTTCTTGAACACACATTCAGCTTCTTCTGGGCAGGGCAAAAGTAGCTAAAAGTGAATTTCGGTTTGGCCGCCTGTGTTTCAACCTAAGCTTACCAAGCTTTGGCCCTCTTTGGCTCACTGAGGAAGCCCCCTGCCTGTGGGAACTGATGAGTCATCCTGGACAATGATTCAAAGTTTGTGTAGTCCAACACAAGCTCAAACAGACTCAGTGATCGCGGGAAGATTGCTTGGAGAAATCGCTCTCAATGCCGCGTGTGCATGAAGATTGTGTGGCCAAGCTTGGAACATGTGCTCCTGAAATTTGGGCCCCAGACGTTGAACACTGCAAAGCAATGAGTGAGGTTGTCATGTTGCTGGTCATGTTGATTTTGCAAAAATTGCAGTGATGGGTCACAAGCTGTCGTGATGAGGCGTTCATGCTGTTGCCGGACGCCGGTGAAAACATTGGCCCAGGAAGATGATTTATCCCGGGGAGGATGTCGGTGAAAACATTGCATGGCCCAGGTAGGTGATTTGAACCGGTGAGGATGCCGGTGAAAACATTGGCCCAGGCAGGTTGCCCCTCACATCTCCAAATTGTTCAGCAGTCACCAATGTGAAATTTTCGGGCCCAGCCCGCGCCGCACTGGCGCGCGCACGCTGGCCATGATGGCACGGGACCAGGAGCCAAATCAAACGCCCCTAGCGCGCAAGCAGCACAGTTTCAGCAACAGTTTGGACGCAGCTTGCCAGGACCTGGGACCATCATAACGGTGAGCAGAGTTTTAGAAGCCAACTTGACACCAAAAAATCGTCCTGCTGCGCCACGATTGCAGACAAGGGGCCTTGGTGCAGGCAAGACAGCAAGTCCGAGGCCAGCTCCTGGCGGCAGCTCCATGTTAGCATGCTGAGCAAGTGAAATCATTGTCTGACAAGAAATGACCAAAGCAGACAGCTTTTCCTGGTCCTGGAGCTGCATGCAAGGCCTGCTCCCCCCAATGCCTTCCACTCCTTGCAGCCAAAGGAAGCGAGGTCAAGATGGGGCTCAGCAGCGTGAGCTGCCTGGCAAATTGACCGTTGGAATCAGAAGCAGCGTAGCACCCAGGACCTGGCTTTGATTCGGTGCAATAAACTTGGGGCAACATGATGCTCGTGTGCTGACTAGCCCAGGTCCTGGTTTTGCCTCACCACCCCTCAAGCTCTGTTTGCAAACCATTGCTGGCAGCCGGAGGAAACGAGGTCAAGATGAGGCTCACCTGTCACAAGCCAGCGCACGCTCGTCCCATTGGACTCACAACCTGCGGAACGTTGCAGTAGACTAGATTGTTGTTGGGGGAAGGTCTTAGCATTGCTGATGACTAGGGCCTGATAGCGAAGACCCCCCCGCCACCTCGCCAAAGGAAGCACGAGATGGGGCTCAGCGTGGGCTGCCTAACAGGAAATCAACAAGCGCCGCCTTGTCAGTCAAGCCAGCCAGTGCTAGCTTTTGCCAGCCAAGGACTGTGAAGAAGCCTGATAAGCTTGCTCGTGCGTGCCAGCATCAAGTCAGATAGCAATCGCACCATGCCACGCAAGGGTTGGTGGGCCCGCTCCTCCTTGTCAACAATGAGGGCTGAGCCGGGCACCTACACCGCTAGCGCTCAAAGTGCTCACAGGGGCCCTGGCAGCCTTGTCATGGTGCATCAGGAGGTGCCCGTCAAGCATCTCCAGCTCAGAATCTGCCTTGCAACACCAGAACTTGCTGTTGCACTTGTCACACAGGCGCCACTTCCGAAGGATGGCTGCAACTCTCAAAGCTTCCAGATGGGCTGACTTTCTCGGATGCCTTGAAGGATGGGATGTGCAAATCGCGCATGGCGTTCAGGCTTACATTCAGGCTGTGCTACGTAGCTAGGAAAAAGAACTGTGGAACAAGTTCAACAGACCCGTGGTACGCTTGGCGAAAGCACTGTATGGGCACCCTGATGCCGGGACATGCTGGGAGCAGCATTGCGATGAGTCACTGTGAGCCGTTGGCTTCGAGCCTGTCGGCGAGGAGTGGCCACCAACTTGTTCCAGCGGTGTATGTTGATGATTTCAAGATGCAAAAAAGGTTGGGCCTACTTCGGAAGAATTTCAACATTGAGCCGGAAACCGGTCTGGTATTTTTTTTCTCGGCAACGGGCGCAGAGTTACTACGGTGACTTAGAGCAATTCCTGCGCTCTGTGTTGGCTGTTACAGAAGTGGCGGTAAAAGTCAAATTGCAGAAGGTTGCTACACCTGGTATCCATGAAGAAACACAGGATCACCCATCGAGGACGCCCTTGCAGGAAGGTTTTTTTGGTGTAACAACAGAGTGTGCTCATGAAAATCTTCACGTTTTGATTTGCGTCGGCAAGTCAACTGTCTGGCGCGAAACATTTTCGAGATCGACTGTCGACGACGTCTGGAGGATGATCAGCTGGGCCGTTTCACGATTTGAAAAAGCACATAGTGCGTGCGCGCTGGCATGCAACGGCCCGCTGTGTTTCTTGTGAGTTTGTGATTCCTGACCCTAGGATGAACCTAAGTCCAGGATGGGGGTGCTAAGAATTCCCGGGCCGTAGGCCTATGGACTGGCTCCCTTTTGGTTGTTTGCCTGGTTTCTTGGGCCCCAAACTTGTTCGCGGAATGGATGTGATTCATGCAGCCGTGCGCGGTCAGTTGCTTCGCGCCTTCCACGCCACTTTGGCTCAAGGCTCAAGCGCCTTCAACTATGCGCTGCCATTGCACGCCGCAGAACAACGAACGGACTGTGAGCGGACAGAACCGAACCATTCCGTGGTGCGCTGCTTACTGTGCACTTAGGACACTAACGCACAAGGCTAGATTCGATTAGAGCATCCTCTGAAAAAGGTGTGGATACTTGAAACAGGAAAAGTGTGCGATAGTCTCTGCAAGTTGCGGGTTCCATTCCCAACCGCTCACTCGGCCTTACACCCTAGCTTTGCTGCTTACTTCCGGATCGACGAGCAAATGGTTTTTACTGGAAGCTTGTTCCTGGTGAGCCTGCTTTACCGCACCATGACCTACCCGCTTTCTTCGCAGACTGAATCCTGAACAGCGAGGGCTACTGACTACACTTCTTTTCTTTCACTGCAGTAGCATGGATGAACAACATCACTACTGTCAATACTGCCATTTCAGTTGAAAAGATAATGCAAGATCTTTTGCCTGAGGGGCCCTGTCAATGCACATGTGGTGTTGTACTACATAGCTTCTACATGACCGCAGGCCTTGAGCTCTTTTACTACACCCAGAGTCCATGCAAAATAGGAGCTGCGCAGACTACAGGTTTGTTTGTGTGAACAACATTACTGCACTTGCGCTTGAGAACAACAATCAGGCTTTAACGAGGAAGACAGAGGGAGAGAGCGAGAGAGAGAGAGAGCGAGAGAGAGAGAGAGAGAGAAAAAAAAAAGAGAAAGAGAAAGAGAGCAAGAGAAAGAGAGCAAGAGGGAAAGGGAAAAGGAAACAGAGAGGGAAAGAGAAACCCAGAAGAGTCGAGGAGTTGTTCTTTGAGTGAGCCCTGGAACCCCCGGCCCTTAGGCTATCAAATGGCGTCCTACTTCTTCGCCGGTCTCTTCCCAATCCTCGATGATGCTGCCATAGCGTTCGAGATGTACCTCTACATGATATGCGGGGACATGCTGGGCAGCTTTGTGGCCTTTGTTTGGACCAGCTCCGTAGATCTCAGTTTGAAAGCCGACATCACCTTTGTGTCCCTGGTTCTGTTGAGCCTCACAAGCACAGCCACTGCTTTGATCCCCTCTATTGCAACCATTAGCGAAGCGTCACAACAGCCACACGCGTTGCAGCGCCTTCCTTCCTTGAATGACTCAGTGGCCACGCTTGTCTTTTCTACGTTCTTCTTCGGCTCCTTTTCCAAAGCTGGTTTGGAAGCATTCTGTCCCAAAGTGATGCGAGCGCGTCTTGTTGGCGTGCTGCTTGGTCTTTTGGGCGTCCTGCTGTGCTACCTCACGATACTCAGCAGCTTGAACGCGCCGCCCAAGTTGGCCCGCGGCTTAAGGCTCTGGAGCAACGCCAGTCTCTCTCAAGTTCGCCGGCATCTCTTGCAGCTGTTGCTCTCGAGGTGCACACTCAAAGCGGGCCCCTGGCCACTGTTGCTGCGGAGTTGCGGCAAGCGCAGAACCTACAGAGCGCCCGCCGCGTGCGCCTTAGCCACAGCGCGGGCCTGAGCTTTACACCCTTGTGTTTTGACAGAGGGTCTCCGTTGAGTCGGGTTTAATTGTTGGTCGGGCGCTTCAGATTTAGGCGTGGAGATCACGCACGCTGGCGTGTTGCGCAGAGAGATAGGCAGGGCTTCACATGGGCGTGTCCGAATTGCATGGCACCGCCGCTTTCAGGCAGATGATTAGCCACAATTCATAACGCAGAAGCAAATCAGAAATTTTATTAATTTTACATTTTGCTGCCGAATTATATATATTTAAAATAATATTCGGAATTTGTAGAATATTGTTTTTGATATTATATAATTTATAGATTATTAATCGAATTTTGGCCGAAATTTCGAGGAGATTTTTAATAATGTTGTTATGAATTTTTATAATGTAATTTTGATAATTTTTTGCGAATTTTAGGTTGTTTTTGGTAATATGATTGTTAGGATAGTTTTTTTTGTGTTTAATTGAATTTATTATTATTTTTAATTGTTTGTTTGTTTTTTTTTTTTTTTTTTTTTGTTTTTTTTGTGTTTGCCTGATTTGTTTGTTGATATTATTATTGTTGGAATTAACGATTTTTTTTTTATATTTTTTTGTTGTGATGATGAATTGTTGCTAATTTTATTTTTTTATTTTAATATTTTTTTTATTTTTTTTTGTTTTTTTTTTTTGTTTATTTTCTTTTTTTATTTTTTTTTTTTAGTATACTCTTTTTTTTTTTTTTTTTGTTGTTTTTTTCTTTTTTTTGTTTTATTTTTTTTTTAGTTTTTTTTTTTTTTTGTTACTTTTTTTTTTATTTTTTTTACTCTTTTTTTTTTTTTTATTTTTTTTTTTTATTTTTTTTTTTTTTTTTTTGCTTATTTTTTTTTTTTTTTTTTTTTTTTTTTATCTTCTTATTTTTTTTCATATATTTAATTTTTTTTTTTTTTTTTTATTTTTTTTTTTTCTTTTTTTTTTTTTTTTTTTTTTTGTTGCTTTTTCGCACGGTTTGGAAGGTCTTATTTTGCCGAAATTTGGGTAGGTTTTAATAAAATTTATGGCAAATTTCGGCAAAATAAGATCCCTTGCCAAACCGTGCGAAAATAGCAACTTATTTAAGTCTTTCTTTTGTAATTCATCACACCAAAAAAAAAATATAAAAAAAAAATCGTCTAATTCAAAAAATAATAATATCAACAACCTGAAAATCATTGGCCAGAATAAATATTAGGTACAAAAAAAAGAAAAAAAAAAAAAAAAAAACAAACAAAACAATTAAAAATAATAAAAAAATTTCAACTAAACAAAAAAAAAAACAAACACAAAAAAAAGAAAAAAAAAAAAAAAAAAAAACAAACAAACAATTAAAAATAATAATAAATTCAATTAAACACAAAAAAAACTATCCTAACAATCATATTACCAAAAACAACCTAAAATTCGCAAAAAATTATCAAAATTACATTATAAAAATTCATAACAACATTATTAAAAATCTCCTCGAAATTTCGGCCAAAATTCGATTAATAATCTATAAATTATATAATATCAAAAACAATATTCTACAAATTCCGAATATTATTTTAAATATATATAATTCGGCAGCAAAATGTAAAATTAATAAAATTTCTGATTTGCTTCTGCGTTATGAATTGTGGCTAATCATCTGCCTGAAAGCGGCGGTGCCATGCAATTCGGACACGCCCATGTGAAGCCCTGCCTATCTCTCTGCGCAACACGCCAGCGTGCGTGATCTCCACGCCTAAATCTGAAGCGCCCGACCAACAATTAAACCCGACTCAACGGAGACCCTCTGTCAAAACACAAGGGTGTAAAGCTCAGGCCCGCGCTGTGGCTAAGGCGCACGCGGCGGGCGCTCTGTAGGTTCTGCGCTTGCCGCAACTCCGCAGCAACAGTGGCCAGGGGCCCGCTTTGAGTGTGCACCTCGAGAGCAACAGCTGCAAGAGATGCCGGCGAACTTGAGAGAGACTGGCGTTGCTCCAGAGCCTTAAGCCGCGGGCCAACTTGGGCGGCGCGTTCAAGCTGCTGAGTATCGTGAGGTAGCACAGCAGGACGCCCAAAAGACCAAGCAGCACGCCAACAAGACGCGCTCGCATCACTTTGGGACAGAATGCTTCCAAACCAGCTTTGGAAAAGGAGCCGAAGAAGAACGTAGAAAAGACAAGCGTGGCCACTGAGTCATTCAAGGAAGGAAGGCGCTGCAACGCGTGTGGCTGTTGTGACGCTTCGCTAATGGTTGCAATAGAGGGGATCAAAGCAGTGGCTGTGCTTGTGAGGCTCAACAGAACCAGGGACACAAAGGTGATGTCGGCTTTCAAACTGAGATCTACGGAGCTGGTCCAAACAAAGGCCACAAAGCTGCCCAGCATGTCCCCGCATATCATGTAGAGGTACATCTCGAACGCTATGGCAGCATCATCGAGGATTGGGAAGAGACCGGCGAAGAAGTAGGACGCCATTTGATAGCCTAAGGGCCGGGGGTTCCAGGGCTCACTCAAAGAACAACTCCTCGACTCTTCTGGGTTTCTCTTTCCCTCTCTGTTTCCTTTTCCCTTTCCCTCTTGCTCTCTTTCTCTTGCTCTCTTTCTCTTTCTCTTTTTTTTTTCTCTCTCTCTCTCTCTCTCGCTCTCTCTCTCTCTCGCTCTCTCCCTCTGTCTTCCTCGTTAAAGCCTGATTGTTGTTCTCAAGCGCAAGTGCAGTAATGTTGTTCACACAAACAAACCTGTAGTCTGCGCAGCTCCTATTTTGCATGGACTCTGGGTGTAGTAAAAGAGCTCAAGGCCTGCGGTCATGTAGAAGCTATGTAGTACAACACCACATGTGCATTGACAGGGCCCCTCAGGCAAAAGATCTTGCATTATCTTTTCAACTGAAATGGCAGTATTGACAGTAGTGATGTTGTTCATCCATGCTACTGCAGTGAAAGAAAAGAAGTGTAGTCAGTAGCCCTCGCTGTTCAGGATTCAGTCTGCGAAGAAAGCGGGTAGGTCATGGTGCGGTAAAGCAGGCTCACCAGGAACAAGCTTCCAGTAAAAACCATTTGCTCGTCGATCCGGAAGTAAGCAGCAAAGCTAGGGTGTAAGGCCGAGTGAGCGGTTGGGAATGGAACCCGCAACTTGCAGAGACTATCGCACACTTTTCCTGTTTCAAGTATCCACACCTTTTTCAGAGGATGCTCTAATCGAATCTAGCCTTGTGCGTTAGTGTCCTAAGTGCACAGTAAGCAGCGCACCACGGAATGGTTCGGTTCTGTCCGCTCACAGTCCGTTCGTTGTTCTGCGGCGTGCAATGGCAGCGCATAGTTGAAGGCGCTTGAGCCTTGAGCCAAAGTGGCGTGGAAGGCGCGAAGCAACTGACCGCGCACGGCTGCATGAATCACATCCATTCCGCGAACAAGTTTGGGGCCCAAGAAACCAGGCAAACAACCAAAAGGGAGCCAGTCCATAGGCCTACGGCCCGGGAATTCTTAGCACCCCCATCCTGGACTTAGGTTCATCCTAGGGTCAGGAATCACAAACTCACAAGAAACACAGCGGGCCGTTGCATGCCAGCGCGCACGCACTATGTGCTTTTTCAAATCGTGAAACGGCCCAGCTGATCATCCTCCAGACGTCGTCGACAGTCGATCTCGAAAATGTTTCGCGCCAGACAGTTGACTTGCCGACGCAAATCAAAACGTGAAGATTTTCATGAGCACACTCTGTTGTTACACCAAAAAAACCTTCCTGCAAGGGCGTCCTCGATGGGTGATCCTGTGTTTCTTCATGGATACCAGGTGTAGCAACCTTCTGCAATTTGACTTTTACCGCCACTTCTGTAACAGCCAACACAGAGCGCAGGAATTGCTCTAAGTCACCGTAGTAACTCTGCGCCCGTTGCCGAGAAAAAAAATACCAGACCGGTTTCCGGCTCAATGTTGAAATTCTTCCGAAGTAGGCCCAACCTTTTTTGCATCTTGAAATCATCAACATACACCGCTGGAACAAGTTGGTGGCCACTCCTCGCCGACAGGCTCGAAGCCAACGGCTCACAGTGACTCATCGCAATGCTGCTCCCAGCATGTCCCGGCATCAGGGTGCCCATACAGTGCTTTCGCCAAGCGTACCACGGGTCTGTTGAACTTGTTCCACAGTTCTTTTTCCTAGCTACGTAGCACAGCCTGAATGTAAGCCTGAACGCCATGCGCGATTTGCACATCCCATCCTTCAAGGCATCCGAGAAAGTCAGCCCATCTGGAAGCTTTGAGAGTTGCAGCCATCCTTCGGAAGTGGCGCCTGTGTGACAAGTGCAACAGCAAGTTCTGGTGTTGCAAGGCAGATTCTGAGCTGGAGATGCTTGACGGGCACCTCCTGATGCACCATGACAAGGCTGCCAGGGCCCCTGTGAGCACTTTGAGCGCTAGCGGTGTAGGTGCCCGGCTCAGCCCTCATTGTTGACAAGGAGGAGCGGGCCCACCAACCCTTGCGTGGCATGGTGCGATTGCTATCTGACTTGATGCTGGCACGCACGAGCAAGCTTATCAGGCTTCTTCACAGTCCTTGGCTGGCAAAAGCTAGCACTGGCTGGCTTGACTGACAAGGCGGCGCTTGTTGATTTCCTGTTAGGCAGCCCACGCTGAGCCCCATCTCGTGCTTCCTTTGGCGAGGTGGCGGGGGGGTCTTCGCTATCAGGCCCTAGTCATCAGCAATGCTAAGACCTTCCCCCAACAACAATCTAGTCTACTGCAACGTTCCGCAGGTTGTGAGTCCAATGGGACGAGCGTGCGCTGGCTTGTGACAGGTGAGCCTCATCTTGACCTCGTTTCCTCCGGCTGCCAGCAATGGTTTGCAAACAGAGCTTGAGGGGTGGTGAGGCAAAACCAGGACCTGGGCTAGTCAGCACACGAGCATCATGTTGCCCCAAGTTTATTGCACCGAATCAAAGCCAGGTCCTGGGTGCTACGCTGCTTCTGATTCCAACGGTCAATTTGCCAGGCAGCTCACGCTGCTGAGCCCCATCTTGACCTCGCTTCCTTTGGCTGCAAGGAGTGGAAGGCATTGGGGGGAGCAGGCCTTGCATGCAGCTCCAGGACCAGGAAAAGCTGTCTGCTTTGGTCATTTCTTGTCAGACAATGATTTCACTTGCTCAGCATGCTAACATGGAGCTGCCGCCAGGAGCTGGCCTCGGACTTGCTGTCTTGCCTGCACCAAGGCCCCTTGTCTGCAATCGTGGCGCAGCAGGA